ACCGATGTCTCCCTTCTCCCACTTTTCTGTTGTCTGCAGTCTTCCTTTAGTCTTCTGAGTTTTCTGGGCAGACTTTTTGTTGTAGAAATATATATAAGTAGACACCACACCCATCCCCATTCCACCAGCACACACATTCATCACAGTCCCCCTGTACACACACACACACACACCCATCCCCCTACACACACACCCATCCCCATTCCACCAACACACATCACAATCCCCCTCTACACACACACACCCATCCCCACGCCAACACACATGTAGTCATCACAATCCCCCTCTGCACACACATACACATTAACACACCACACACATCCCCCCCACACACACACCATACACACATCCTCACTCCCCCAACACACATACTCATCACAATCCCACCCCCACACATTATACTATCACACACACACACACACACACGAGCCCTAAAACAACAAAGAAATATATACATAAGTAGGAATATACTTTAGTATTTGATGTAGGTGATGAAAATTAATACCTTTTTTGCCAAGCTCTCCATATGTGGTGTGTTCAAAGCCATGGCTGTCATGGCATCAACCCGATGTAGAGAACCGGGGGCCATCCTCTGCCGTCTCAGTTGAGGGGCACTCACTTTCCTGCAACTCAGTGTCCAGCACAATGCATCATCAGTATCGATTTGATTTGGACAGTTCTGGATGATCACCTGGGCAGTGAAGCTGACAGTGTCCTTGGCTGGACAGCTCTTAACAATCATCAGTCAGACTGCTATGGCAAATACTTTGATAGGCACCTTCTGATACTTGACTCCCAGTTTGTCAACAACCAGAGCCTTACCTAAGTCATTACTGTGCACCTCTGTAGACTTTACTTCAGACGAGTAACATTGACTGAAGCAAAACTGGCCACCGCATCTGGTTTGAGGCCACCAATTCATTGTGATCAGTGGGAACAGTGTAAAAACCAACATTTTTTGTATATAAATTACGGGGGCAGGTGGACAAGATAGTGACAGGATACAATCCAACATTTGGGTCAGTGTAGCCTTCCTTTCAAAGGTCTCCTGAGCTGAGGCATATTAGCACATAATTATGTCATGATTCCAAACAAATACAGCACAAAACCAGTTTGGATTGAAGCCAGCTTTCTTTTTCCTATTACTTGAAGCGTTTTCTTGACTTCTTTAGTATCTTCTTGCCGTAAGGCTTCTGCATGTCATCCACTTTCCCCCGAGTAAGTTTGTTTCGTATAGAACATGTACGGTAGAACGTATACGGGTGTGCTTAGTCTTCATGGTACCAGCTTCAAAGACGAGCACCTACAGCAACAACCAGCCTGAGAAGCCTTTGAATCCCGGGACATCCGCTGGGTTCCAACACCACAGGGCAAGATCAGTGGTGCTGCTTCTGCGTTTTATTGCTAGCTGCTGTCCTCTGCACTTCATCACAGCCCCTTGTGCTACAGAACATTGCCTGCTCCGGGCCTCTTCGTGATCACCCGTATCACTGGTGCAGCCACTGGGTAATTTGAGTGCCTTTAACCTAGAAGGAGCCCTCATGGCATAGGAGTTCAAAACCACCAGCTGCTCCACAGGAGATAGACATGACTTTCTACTCCCAGAAAGAGTTAGTCTTTAAAAAAAAGTTATTGTCTACAGGGGCCATTCTACCCAGTCTTATGAACCTGCTACGAGTCCCTTATGAATAGCAGTGAATTTGCTTTTTGGTCCAGCCCATGGGACTCCTTCCAGCCCTCTATCAGACAATATTCTGTTGTCATACCGAGGGTTTCCATCGACTAGTTTTCAGAAGTAGAATACCAGGCTTTCTACCTCGTCTTGTTAGTCTCGCAGCTCCACTGAAACCTGTCATGGGTATTTGACCTTGTCGGTATTTGAAACGTTGGGGGCATAGCTTCCAGCATCATAGAAACATGCAGCCACCAGTGTAAGAAATTGACAGACAGTGGTACTCATACTTAACCTTCGTTATACCCAAGACCCGTGTATCATGGCAGCTTCTACCCCGCCCCTTAACTGTGTTCTTATCAAATAAGCCTCATTTGTAGATTATGAATATATGTCTGTAGCTCACGTGTGTCTGAACTCAACATTTCAGATACAGGTTCCAGCGTGATCTCATATCCGTATTCTGATGACAAACTTGTAGCAAAACTGATCTGTGTTCTTCTGTCAGGCCTGATTTGATAGTAGTAGTTCCCAGACTTGTGACTTCACAGATCAGTAAAATTCCAAAACAATTTGCAGACTGATTTAGGGCTGCCAAATTTGTATTTTGACAAGGAAGTATGTATTTTCAAACCTGTTTACTCTTACCACCTTTTTACATTTATTGTGTAGAAAATGTTTTGGAATCAAAGAAAGAATTGGTACAACCACACAAACATCTATGAGGGGAAGGGGGCTTCAAAAAGCTCATGGAACTTTTCATTCATTCAGTGTTTCCTTTTGTAAGATGCACGTATGTACATGCATGTGTGGCAATGTGTTAAACAGGTTGAGGAAAACTATAACATTTTGACCTTATAGGTGGGTCAAAGTATTGCCATTGGCATCCTTAACAGAGACCAGATTTTGGAAACACCCCAATGTTGTATTCTCTTTTGTGGCACTTGTTACATACGTTATGTCAGGCTTTACGTAGTCTGGGACACTAAGTAATCTGGGGGGTGGTAGGGGCAAATACAAAACCAAATAAATTATTTTAGGAAGGGTTATTTACAATTTGATGTTGCTTACTTCTTCCTTCCTGTGCTTTTTGACTTTTAGCATGTATGCTCTATACCATCCATAACACATATGATGACATTGAAAGTAAAGCGGTTGCAGATCTTGGATGTGGTTGTGGAGTGCTTAGCATTGGAACGGCAATGTTAGGAGCAGGGTAAGTAATCCAGGAATACTAGAGAGCAGGGCTGTCAGACTCGGTGAAAACGCAGGCAGGCCATTTGATGCAACAGGCAAGATTCACATGGGCCACATCACATTTACAAATTTTGTTAAATTTATATTTTGAAGTGAGGACTCAGGAATATGGATAGGTTAATTAAAACACTATAGAATTGCTTTTATTTAAACATTTATTTAATGTATTTATAAAACTAAAATTATTCTTTTACCCAAACTTGCCAGCACTTTCCTCCTACTAGTTTTCATAGGAAAATATAACAAAGTAACTAATAAAAAACATAAAATGTTGGACAGCTGACAAACTGATACACAATTGTAACAGCTTTCCTCTAAAAATGTGAACTAGCGCTGCCGCTAGGTGTGATTCATAACAGCACAACCCAGAGTGCTCTTTTTAACCTTCTCGCTATTGGGATGTGTTTACGTTATGTGACACTGAGTGGCAGACATATCGCTTCCAAATGTCACTGGAACGGAGTCAGCGCATTTACACATGTCCACAGGCCCCCAGGAAAGGCACTATGCACTTGTCTTCAGTAGTTAAAGGGTTAATGAGGGAATTGTGTGTACGGTATTGCCTCGATCTCCCCTAAGTGCTGTTTTCTTCATAACAATTTTTTCTATTTTCATTGTATTTCAGAGCATCAAGGGCCAAAAAAAATTACCTCGAGGGCTACATTTGGCCCATGGGCCACAGTTTGACACCCCTGCTATATAGGGATGGAGTGGCTTTAATCAGCAGCATATATAGGATTAAAAGTTTTTTTAGGGCACTACAGTATGAAGTTGGGGGAGCAAGAATCTGATACTGCCCACAAACTACTAAAAATAAATGAATTAAAGGTAATAGCAGCAATCAGATGCCCCCCTTTATGTACAGTCTGAGTTCCCAACCTCTAGACATCTTGGCCGATTGAGAAATCTTGCTGTTGAAGAGCAGCACTCATGAACTCTTGATTTGTTATTAGTTGAACTCAGCTAGTTTTGTTTTTACTTGTTTTAACTTGGGAGATGTAAGTACTTATACTGTGTTTTGTATTTCTATAGGTTGTGTGTTGGATTTGACATAGATGAAGAGGCATTGGAAATATTTAATAAGAATGTCGAAGAGTTTGAGTTAACAAATGTTGATATGGTTCAATGTGATGTGTGTGCGTTACCTAACAGAATGTCTAAGTCCTTTGATACAGTAATTATGAATCCTCCCTTTGGGACTAAGAATAATAAAGGTTAGTAACAAAATCAGGTACATTGATGTATTTCTAGAAAAGTGGGGTTTTAAAACCATTTTATTGTTGACTGGTTGGGTTAGATAATTTCTCAGTATTCTGAATAAGCTACCTGTATTGTTAACGTAATTCCAATTTTTTGTTTTTTAATCATTTTATTGGGGGCTTTTGCAGCTCTTATAACATTCCATACATCAATTGTATCGAGCATATTTGTACATATGTTGCCATCATTATTTTTCAATTTGTTTAATGCCTGACTAGCGAATTGGGATTTTTCCATCTACTATTCCTAAATTTGTCTTAGTTCATTTATTATTTATATACTTATCTGTCTCTAATGATTTGCTCTACTTTTGATTATGAACCTGTAAATGACTTTATACTTTTAGGACCTTTACTTAATGCCTAACACATTCAAGATTTTCAACGCAGTAACACTGGCTCACTGTGGCTATTTTGTGTGTTCTGGGCCAAGCTAGAGAATCCCTTAAACAGTGATTCTCACTCAACCTTCCTAATGCCGCAACCCTTTAATACAGTTCCTCATGTTGTGGTGACCCTCAACCATATAATTATTTTTGTTGCTACTTCTGTCATTTTGCTACTGTTATGAATCGGGCGACCCCTGTGAAAGGGTTGTTCGAACACCAAAGGGCTCGCGACCCACAGGTTGAGACCCGCTGCCTCAAGAGAAAAGATGTATATAATTTTAGAAGTCATCGTGAATGATAGGGGGAGTGCGGAGTGGAGATCCAAAGCCCATTAGTAGGCCACTGGAGATCCCCTTGCAGAGGGGTCTCGGGGAGGAGACGAGCCAGTCAGGGTGCGATGTAGCAACAATGAGAAATACAACTTTCCTCTAGTTCCTAAATGCTTCCTCCCCGCTCCCACTACCATGACTCGAATTCGACCTTGCAAGTCTGGCTGGACCAGAGGATATACACTGGTACAGATAGGAACTGAAAATGCAGGGAATCCAGGGAGGATGAGCCCTACAGGACCAGTGGTGTGAATGGCGAGGCAGGGAGGGTGAAGGGAGAATGGGTAGGAAGGAGGGAACCGATTGCAAGGAACTATATGTGACCTCCTCCCTGGGGGACAACCGAAAGGTGGGTGAAGGGAGACGCCGGACAGGGCAAGTTATGACAAAATACCAGTTTATAAACTATCAAGGGCTCATGAGGGAGGGGGGAGTGGGGAGGGAGGGGAAAAATGAGAACCTAATGTCAGGGGTTTAAGTGGAGAGAAAATGTTTTGAGAATGATGTACAAATGCGCTTTACACAATTGATGTGTATGGATTGCGATAAGAGTTGTATGAGCCCCTAATAAAATGTTAAAAAATAAATAAAAAGTCACCCTAAGTGATTTAAATTCCTTCTCTTTATGTTCCCTTTGTTCTCTTTGAAAGTTATTTGTTTAGTACATAATTAAAAAATTAATTTAGCTTTATTTGACCAAGACAGTATAAAGTCTAGTCTTGGTCTATCAGCCTTGAAAGGGTATTTCAATATTTGTATCCTGTTCTGAAGTGGTTAATTTGGATTGGAGGGGTGGGGGGAGGAGGTAATGTTTCCAACTTTATCAGTGCAGTCTGATGACAGGAACAAAATGTATAAAGCATTTCCCATTCTACACAGGAACAGATATGGCTTTTCTGAAGGCGGCTTTGGACATGGCAAGAACAGCAGTATATTCTTTACACAAATCCGCAACTAGAGAAGTGAGTTTAAATCATCAGTCGTTTTTTATAAACATGTGGCAGTGTTTTAAGAACTTGCTGTGAATTCAAAAAATTAAAGTACCCATTTTTATGGACCTTTTTAACACCCTTGATATTGAATATTTAACCAGTTAGAATCTAGTTAGCTGTCTTCTAGCTTATAGAACTATTTAGGTAGGAACTGTTGGCCAGTTGCTGTTAAATATATTTTGGATTGCCTGGGACAGGCTTTAATCCTGTCATCCCACTTGTTTGGGGTTATGTTGAGGGAGGCAGTAAGGCCTGATTTTTAAGATCGCTCATTCTGGAGCTAAATCGACCTGAGTTCAGATCCAACCCTTCCCATTTATTCTTGTCAGCCCCCAAATAGGTGAATATATAAGATGCATACCAGGAATTGGCAGGAAAGATATCCCCCACCCCCAACAGTTTAATAGCAGAGATTAAGAACTCTAGAGCCAGACTACCCGAGTTTTATACCCCAATTTTGCTACTTCCTGTTATTTTGGTCAAGTTCCTTAAGCTTCAGTTTCTCATGCATAAGATGGAATTAAGAGTGCCTTATAATTTTAAGATTGTTGAGAATTGATATTTATAGAGTATTTGGAACAGTGCTGCATGTGATTGCTATGTATAGCTATTTACTGTAACTCTAGAGCACGCACTCCTATAGTTAAGGTTCCAAAGCTGCAGTCATTACACAAAAATTAGCATTGTGCAAAATGAAAGATGACTACATCCTTACCTAACTGCCCAACCACTGAGAATCCAGGCCCAGCCAAGTTAACACAGAACCTTTGCCATTACAACCAATGTTATTTCCAGCTCAGCATTCACTACAAACCAGACTGAGTTGATTCTGACTCACAGTGAGAGGCCCTATAGGACAGGATGGGGACTGCCCGAGTTCTGAGACTGGAAGGGAGGAGAAAGCTTCAGCGCAGCTGGTGGTTTCACATTGCTGACCTTGTGGTTCACAGCCCAACATGTAACCCACTATGCCACCGGGGCTTCTCACAAAGTACGTTGTTAAAATGCACAGAAGTCAGATTTTTCACTATTGTGTGAAGTATTGGATAACAAGGTAAGTTGGTGAGGAGTAGGTACATGAAGAGTTGTGATTTTATAAGAAAATTATTTTATTTATGTATGTATACTGGAATCCAGTTGGCAACTAGTTCTGAGTATACAGTAATTAGTAACTCTAAAGATATAAAATCACATGGCTAAAAAAATACATCACTAAGTACTGATATGCATAGGTAGGCAACAGAACAGAGCATAACTTTCCCAATAAAACCAAGCCCATTGGTGGGTTTGAACTGCTGCTGGCCTTGCAGTTTCTAGACCAAGGCTTTCCCAACCTCACCACTAGGCTAAGTAAAGCCCTACAAGAGTGTGAAAGCAAACACCACTATAGATACCTAAAAAGCCAGCGTGTTGAGGGGTTCCCAAGATTTGATGTTAGGACTTAGCATGTCCTTGTATGATTCGCTGTGATGTAACCAGAGCACAACCCGGAAAGGAAAAAGGTGCAGGGGCCAAGTACAGAGAAAACCAAGCATTAATGTTTCCAGAATCCGCTCCTGATGTGGAGTCACACAAGATATGCTTGATTCCCCCAAGTTGTAACATGTGTGAAATAGTCAACCAGGAAACTCATTAGACTCGTTGCCCAGGTTCTATATTGAAGACTGGTCATAGAAGCCCCCCTCCTTTTGACATACCCAAGTCCCAGGTGCCCAGGAGGAAAACATGTTCAGCACATGTTCAGGTACAGTGAGCCACTCTCACAGTAAAGGGAGTGAGTCTGAAGCTTACCCTCCCAAATTCAAGTTCCCAAATGCTTTCAAAGATGTCTTTCAAACAGTAAGGAATCAGCCCTTTACCTTTATTCTGTAGAGCTTGTCATAATACACATTTTTTCTCATATATAATACATGGAGCCCAAGTAGGGTGTCAGGAAAACGTGGCACAATTGTTATATGTGGCTGAATTTCTAAGCTTCATCACACCCATCTTCATTGTTTAGTGTTGCCATGTTCTACCACTAAGAGACGACACTATCACCACTGCTTGGCCGCCTTGATGGTTAAATTTTAAGTGAATTATTTTATGAATGTGAATGCATTTTTTCATATCAATAGTATAGAAGTATTTCAGTTAGTACTAGTAACTAAATCGTGGAGTATGCATGCTGTGAAGAAGGGTTAAGAGTGAATTTATAATATCGACAATCCCTACTTTATGCTCTAGAACAGCGGTTCTCAATCTGTGGGTCGCAACCCCTTTGGGTGTTGAGCGACCCTTACAGGGGTCGCCTAAGACCATAGGAAAACAAATATTTCACAATATATAATTATATATTGTTTTGTGATTAATCACTATGCTTCACTAATGTTTAATTATGTCCAATTTGTAACAATGAAAATACATCCTGCATATCAGATATTTATATGACGATTCACAACAGTAGCAAAGTTACAGTTATGAAGTAGCAACGAAATAATTTTATGGTTGGGGGGGTCACCACAACATGAAGAACTGCATTAAAGGGTCACGGCATTAGGAATGTTGAGAAGCACTCACTGCTCTAGAAAGAGCTGATATAAATTTAAAATTTTATTTTAATTTTTTTAATACTAACCCTTGTGTTGAGGTTTCAATAGATTGCGAGGGAGCTGCTCTGCTACGTGCGAAACCCGACCCAGAAACAGGTCTTCTATGAATGGTTTAGCACCAGGCTCCCCATGAATGTGCGGTGCGTGACGGGCGAGGGTGCGGCCAGCCCTGTTTCCCAGGATGAAAGGCACTCCGCACTGACCCTGGTCCGGGGCGGCCCACCGGCCGTGACCAGCAGGGACAGCAGCCGCAGCACTGCTATATCGCTCCTCCTGGGCGGGAAATTTATAGTTTTAAAGATGCGATATATATTATTAGCAAGGAGCTGTTGGTACAGTGGGTTATGCAGTTCAAAACCACCAGCTACGGTGTATGAGAAAGACGGGAAATACCCTACCCTATGGGGTTGCAGAGTTGGAATTGACTCAATGGGAGGAGGAGGAGGAGATATTTAACAATGCCACTGAAGCTTATCTTAGGCCTGCATCCTCTAACTCAAACAGTCCACTGCCATCAAGTGGATTCTGACTTATAGTGGCCCCTAAGGGCTTCTGAAGCTGTAAATCTCTAAAGAAGCAAGAAACCAGTTTTCTCCCAGGTGCTGCAAATGCTAAACACTCAACTTCAAACTCCCCTAGTGGTAGAGCTGAAAAGGTTTGACCCAATACACACCCACTGCCCGGAAGTCCATTCTGACTCTGACACCCCCTTCAGTGTGTGAGGCAGTAAACCTTCCCCTGACTGGGTCAGCCGTCCATTAGTGCCCACGGAGCAGTTCTACTCTGCTTAACATGTACGGGCTGTCTTTCAATTCTAAGAAAATATGAAAATGCCAAAACCTGCTATCAATTACTAAAAAGTAAGTTTAAAAGACTGTTTTAAAATCAACTGATATTAACATATCATTTATGTTCAGCATATTCAAAAGAAAGCTGCAGAATGGAAAATCAAGATAGATATTATTGCAGGTAAGACAATGGATTTACTTTCCCCACAAAACAAACCCCAACCCTAATTATCTAAGAGTCAACATGAATTACCTAGTTTTCATAACAGTACTGAGTAAAAATACTCTAAGAACATTTTCGTGTGACAAAATGTGCACAGGTGAAAATGGTGCAGTTGGATGAGCATGTTTTCAAAGTTTGTTGTGGTACATGTTCATCCAACTTTGCTGGAGACGCTACTGATTTATGCATTTTACCCAAAATTTCTACTGGGGTCTCAAGCAGAGCACTGTAGCATCAGTGACAAAGAGCATGGGTCAGACCTCAGTTTGCAACCCACAAATGGGAAATGCCACCACTGCAAAGCTTAAGAACTGTCTGGATCGTCTGTCTGCTGGAACTGGGATTTTATTTTCCCCTTAGTCTTGTTTTTCCTTCCCTTTTAGCCCTTTAGACACCGAGCCACAAAACTAGAAAGTTTTCTTTTTGTGGGGGTAGAATGTAAACATTGACACTAGGTTTGAATTAAGTTTGATACATTTTTATTAGTAAACTGGATAATATTCACAAACATCAAAACAGGAAAAACATTACTAGAAGCTAACTATAATCCAAATAATTTTGAAAAGCCTGAAATAAGAGTACAATAGGGGGAGATATTTTTCAGATGATAGTAAACTGACCAGAAGTTGGCACTATGTTAAACATGTAACTGCTTCTAATAGCATTAACAAGTCTGCTTAGTATATTCAGTATTGCTCATTCCTTACCTCTCTTAAGGTATTATATGATATGAAGCACTTAGAAGTCCTATTAGTATCCCTAGCTATACAACCTTGCTACTCCAGGTGTGGTCCTGAGACCATCAATCTGTATCCATTGAGGGCTTGTTAGAAATGTTTTAGGCCAGACCCACTGAATTATAAATCTGCATTTCAACAAGATCCCCAGGTAATGTTCTTATACATTATAATCTAAGAAGCTCTGATCTAGAGGGTTAGGATTAATGTTGCAAAAGTAAAGAGCAGGTAAGCGTAATGCTGCTTCTCTAAAATTTATTAGCTTGATTAAAGAGTTTGGAAAACCTACATTCTACAAAAAGAACATGAAAAATAAGTGTGTATCTGAGAGCTTTTAATGGGTAAATATTTAGCTACATATGATCACTAAAATCAGGATGAAAACATCTTGAATAGCTGGTTACTATTAAAACTGATCAGGAAATTAATAGAAAGCTACTATCATTTTCATGGAAGATAGTTATTTTGTTCCATCTGTTATCCCCTAAACTTCTCCCCGCAATGTCAAATTTCAGGATACATGGCCAAAATTGTAGAAATACCAAGCTTAGTTTGCTGTGGCTAATCTTGGGACTACATTGAGTCAGGGTTGGATGAGCTAAAGTGGTGGGTCTAAAATGTTTATTTAGCTTACAAGCATTGGGTACTACTTTCTTAGTTCTTAAAAGTCAGTGGCTGTATATTTGAAAATGTAATTTTTTACATTAAATGTATTTTGTTTTACAGAGCTGAGATATGACCTGCCAGCATCATACAGATTTCACAAAAAGAAATCAGTAAGTCTCTCGATTCTGACTGAAGTACATTCAGATGTAAGCTTTTCAATAAGTAATGATTTCTTCTGTTACCAAGTTTCCTAAGTAAATACAGCAAGCAAATAGAGGAAATGAGATGCTAATTCACTATATGATGGGCTTCTAAGCAAACAGCAAATGATCTGGTTTAAGAATAAACCCCCCCCCCCAAAAAAAGAATACATAACCCTTTTGAATGCACAAAACCAAAAGTTAAAAACAAAAAAACTAGGTTTTTGCTCTTTTTATATAGCATATATTTTATTAAATTTTATACTAATATATCCACATTAAAAAGGCAATTTAGTGGAAGAACCTTCCTTTTGAATTATCTGTTAACACACAGCTATACATTACAAAATCCTCATCTGATAACAAAAAGACAAAACAAAAATATTTTCCTTTCTTACAGGTGGACATTGAAGTGGACCTAATTCGATTTTCTTTTTAAAAATCTCCAAGAGAAAGCAGATTAATTGTAAATAAAATGAATGTTACAATGGTCGCTTACACTACTGGTCTCCGGTACCATTTTCTGTTTTCTGTTGTTTGGATGCAGGCTCTTCTTGGTTTGCTTCTTCTCTTGCTCTTTTCACTGGTCCTAAAACAGCAGAATTAATTTGTCACAGCAAGCATTACTTGATTTTAATACCACACAATTATGGATTTTAAAAACCATTGTTTTAAAAGACTAGCAGCTTACTCCTGATACCAATGAAAAAAAAATTTTCCCCCCTTTTCGTATAGATGACCTGATTCCTAAACTTGTCTTCCAAATCGCCTCTCGCTGTGCTACACAAGAACAGCTGGCTAAATGACAATAACTCAAGACTCATTTTTACAGAAGCTGAAAACACGCGACACTGTTCTCTGCTGCATTTTTTCACAAAAACAGATCCCCAATGAAACTAAAAAATTTTTTTAAAGGTAGAAAAAAACTCACCAGCTGCACCACCATTTTCATCGCATTCATCCTCACTCTCGAATTTCGTTTTCTTGCCCTGCAACTGTACTTTTCCTTTGGCCGACCCCACCTGGGCAGCTTTGTTTCCCTTTCCCTTCCCTTTAAACTTGCGGCCTTTTGACTTCCATTTGTTCAGGGATTCTTGTTGATCTTCCATGATTTTTTTCAGTGCTGCTTTCTCCACCTCTCCTTCTAGGACTTCCCACACCACGTCTCTGCTTCTTAGTTGTAGGTTATTGTTACTCGCATCTTTGGCTTTATCCAGCACTTCTTTAGCTTTTTCTTTAAACAGAATTACTCCCTGCATCAAAGGAAGGAAACGAATGGCACACCTTCCTTAGTCCTGCAGTGAATTTTCTCCCGTCAAACTCAGTTTTTCCTACCGTGCATGTCCTACACCATTATCAGTATCAATTTTATTGAACATTAGCAAAATGAATGGTCATAAAAATAAGTTGGCCAATCAATACCAAATCATTCAGAGAATTCAGAAAAATTACACAGTACATCCAATGAGAGCAATAGCAAAACCTGTAATTAATCACACGTAAAACCTTTTATAAACATTTTTTAAACCTTTCTAATTAGTTTCTACAGCTTTTAAATGGACTGCTTGCTAAAAAGCATGTTTCCAACCTCTTTTGCTCCTCTGACAAAGTCTATCCACTTGATTTCTCCATGACTTGCAAAAAGGATGTGCAAATCTTCTCTGCAGGTCTGATCATCTAAGTCGCCTGCAAACTTCAGCAAGCAGCCCATCTTTTCTTCTAGAGACTTCTACAAAAATAGACAAAGCAACCAAGAAAGTTCTTAAATGTAACCACAGCCACAAAATGACAATTCTACTTAGAAAAAAAATTAGCAAAGAAAATATTTAAAAGTAGTTTAACAATGAAGTGTTTTGTCCTTCTACTGTGGCTTCTCGTTTTCATTTATTCTGTGTGACAATTACAAAGAAATATACATCTAGTAATTACACTAACTCTGGAAAAGTAATGGTACTAGGTGTTACTTGTATAAACATAGAGTAGAACAGAACTATCAGAGAGTACATCTACCCGTTGGCTTCTGATACTGTACCTCTTTACAGAAATAGAAAGCCTATTCTGTTCTCTTGAGGAGCACCGGATAGTTTTGAACTGCTGACTTTGTGGTCGTCAGGAGTCAGAATTGACTTGATGGTAGGAGAGTGTGGTTTCACGTTTATTTGCATTACTTTAGTGCAATGACAACTACACATTTATTTCACATTTTACAAATTTTAAGAGATTTCTAGATGCCAATAACACTTACCATTTCAGCATCTTCTGCTAACTTCTGCTTTTCTTCTTGCTCTCTACAAATAAAAATGTCACAGCTAGAACCAGTTTCATTTAATATATAAAGAAATTCAATCGTACAAGTTAATCTAACACCAATACTAAACTGCTTAACAACCAGAGCTAGCTAGCCCTCAGGTTTTCTGATCAGCCAATGCTAAACTGCAACACAATGTTGCCCCCGGGGCCACCAGGCAGGTTAAGACCCTAACATTTTACTACCAATGGAAAGGCTCTTTCATACCAATTTCAGAGCTCATCATTGGCTCTTCCCTGAATTATTAACTCCACCATAGGCAAAGTTTTAAGGAATTCAAGTGTGATGACAAGTTAAAAATGCTGATGGTACTCACTGTTTAGCTCGTAGTTTAGCCTCCACTTTATTTTGCTTTCTTTCTTCATTCTTTTTTGCAAAGTAATCGTCTCTAAAGGACAGAAAATATGGAGGTGAAGTTTACGAGAACAAGGCTAAGAATGCAAACATAAACTCACTGCCCTGTCAGTGTCTCATCTAGATCACGTAATCCTTTAAAGGAGCAAATAAAAGGTCCATGGTGCAAACATTCACTGACAAAGCTAAATTAATATTTGGCTTAAAGGGGACTTCTGGAGATAAGTTTGATTTAAAGATTCCTCAGGGCCAACTGACGGTCTGAACTCTAACCCCACATTGAATTCACAATAAATGTGTGTGCGTGTGTCTTGCTGGAAGTGTATAGCCATGCTGGGCAGGTCAAGGGAGTGGGAATGGGTGGGTTTTGTTTTTTAAAAATCATTTTATTAGGGGCTCATACAACTCTTATCACAATCCATACACACATCAATTGTGTAAAGCGCATTTGTACATTCATTGTCCTCATC